GAAGGAAACACGGATATGTGGGAAGGTGTTCTAATGGACTCAGAACCAAAAGGCAATAAAACTTTGCAATTTCAAATACATTATATTTTTTTCAAAGTTTTGTATATAAAACCATAAGCAAAGCCAAAACACAAATGATAAACTGGGAGAAAATATTTGTAATACATATCACAGATAAAGGATTAATGATCCATATATATAACTATATAACTATATATAACTATATAACTATATATATATATATATATATATAAAGAACTTTTTTAAATTTGAAGGAAAAAAGATAAAAAATCTGATAGAAAAATTAGCAAAAGGCATGAACAGACAGTTCATTGCACACACATATATATGTAACCCTTAAACATACGAAGAGGTGTTCAACTTTATTCATAAAGGTAGGATGATTAGGTAACTGCAAATTGGTGAAAACAATCTAAATGGTTATTTGAAGAAACAATGGCATAGTCATACAATGGGATATTATAAAGGTGTATTATAAAGATGTACAAAAATGAGAGACAATGAATTAATTTGGAGGGAAAATGGAAAAAAAGCACATACAATAACATACCTTGTTTGTTATTTGTGTGTAGTAAAGAAGGAATAATTATATATATATACACACACACACATTTTTGCAAAGAGAAATACAGAAAAGAATGAGTCTTTGAGTGTATTTTTAATAAAGTTTTGATATCTGATCACGTGTGAATATTTTACATATTTAAAAATAAAATTAAATCAACAAGGACAGGCTTCCTGTCCAAGATGGCAGTGTAGGAAGACACTAAACTCACCTCATCCCAGGAACACACAGAATTTACACCTACAGACAGAGCAATTCCCCCTGAAGAAGAACCCAGAGCTAACTGAACAGCTTCTGCACGACAAACAAGAGACCACACAGAAACATGAAGGACAGCTGAAGCCATGGCACTGTGGGCACCACACCCCAGTGCACCACCTTGCAGCCGGGAGTATCCCAGAAGGGCCAGAATGGACTCACCTACCCTGGGGCACAGCAGGAAAATCAGTGGTTTAAAAGACACCCAGGATATACAGGAGGGAAATCCATTGACTAATCTGAGAGCACCTGCCAAGTGGGAGGGGAGCTGCGGGAACTTTCTCCAGGGTTGGAGGCACCAGAGAGATGCCATTTGTGGCCCCTCGCCCTCTCCCTTGATGGCAAGGGCAGGAGCTTGAGCCAAGGGCTCTAGCTGCGCAGGTCAAAGCTGTCCCGGTGCGCCTCAGGCCCATGCCATGGCAGCCCACCACTTGTT